AAGATTCATAATTCTAAAATGTGACACATTTTTAAGGTAGCACGAACCAATATTTCATTAAACAAAAACGTAGTTTCAAACTAAGGAGGCACATGTACTCGAAGACGGCTCATCTTTGCTACAGACATTTCCTCCCTGTCCGCGTGGGCTAGAGTCTCGTATTTGGTCAAAGCGAGCGTGTTAAATAAAAGCTTGCCAGTAGCTTCATATGGGTCGGTGGTTCTACCGGGTTTTGCCCTAAGGAGATACACTTACCATCATATAGCCAGCTTATCATGTTGTGAATATTGCTGTTAAACCCAAAAGGTTCCAGGCTCAAGATAATATATCCTAGCTCCAGCCACGACAAAATGGTCGGATTTTAAAAACCTTTATGTATATTTTATTTAGTAGAATAAAAACGGGTAAGTGTGGAGGGGTCGAAGAGTGTGGTTACTGGAGAGAGAGAGAGAGAGAGAGAGAGAGAGAGAGAGAGAGAGAGAGAGAGAGAGAGAGAGAGAGAGAGAGAGAGAGAGAGAGAGAGAGAGAGAGAGAAAAAATTTCATAAAACAAAGACTATCATTGTGAACAAAACACGCAGCATCATTATATACCCCTGTTTCACGTCGTTGTATAATTATTTAGCTTAAGATTACAAACCTTTACGGTTACATTAAGGCGAATTTACTTTATTGTCTTTCTGCGCGTTGACTTTAATGTGCCCATTTCCAGGATTGGCTAAGTTGCAGCCAGGAAATATAAAGTTTCGGAAATTGCGTCTGCCGTTTTTACATGTACCTTTGGTTGGTGGTTAAAACCCCATTTTCCGCTAAAGTGTTTTTCCAGTATATACCCCTCTGTAATATAGCAGAGGAAATGGCCAGCACGCGTTTTATAGATCAGTCTAAATCGAGACAGATACTAACTAGAAAAATGGCAAAAATATTGCCTTAATTTATCCAACAGACAGCCTGCCTCTCTTTTCGAGACATACTTTGTTAATGGACCGAGAAAATGGAATAGGAAAAGTTTTGGCGGTTAAGTTCCATTAGGTTTCTATGGGTTGAAAAATTCGAAGAAAAAAAAAAGAAAAATATGTGTATATTTATAAAGAAAAAAAATTGTGGATTCAGCCAATTTTCTCTTATTTAAACACAAACTTTCAATGTTTAAAAAAAATTGTCTTCACGTTTTAACTCCTTTGATAACGGTAGATACTATCTGGCTTCATTTCAATGAGCGTATTAACATGTTACTTTACAACTACACGGTCATCAGGCCTTTTCTTTTCTTGTGTTATATATATATATATATATATATATATATATATATATATATATATATATATATATATATATATATATATATATATATATATATATATATACTCATGTTACAAATGAAACGTCATCAGATATTTTCTCTTGTCTTTACTTTGTTGGGATATGTAGTTGTTGTTTTTGTTCTGAGTCTTAATGTCATTTTTCAGCACACGATAGGCTATACATGGCGGCCATTATTAATGGTGTAGGAAGAAAACGGGAAATCCGTGGAAAGAACCACCAACCCACGAGAAGCTACTGGCAAGCTTTCTCACATATCCACATTCGCCGAATCTTAGACTCAAACCACGCAAAAAGAGGTGAGATGGCAGTGATCCATAACGGAGAGTGCTTTAGACCACAAGGCCACTCGAGACTTTTTTGGGATATGTATAAAATTATAAGTGTTTAAACATTCACCTACCAGTAAATTAGCCATTCATTTACTGAACTTTTTTCATTCACCTAATATATTATATTGTCTCACATTAATGCGAGAAATACAGGTAAATGGATGAATCCTTTCATAAAATATTAAAATTTTGAATTTAATTCTTCTGATTTTGGACCTTTTTTGTGCCAGTCCATTACATGTTTTATATAGCGTAATATAAGTATTTGCCGTAATGCACTCTCGTCAACGTGTGTAAAAATACCTTCCTCGTAATTATGAACCGAATTCAGAGTGCTGTACTTTCATAGCTTGCATTCATTACATCCATACCCTCTTCAAATCTTATCTCTTTTCAAGTTGAAAACACCGAACTGGTGACCTAGTGATTAGTGCATCCGCCTCGGATGCGGTAGGCCGTGGGTTTTATCCCCGGCCGAGTCATACCAAAAACTTATAAAATTGGTACTAACATATTCCTTGCTTGGCGCTCAGCATTAAGAGGTTAGTGTTAGGACTGGTCGGCTTGTGGTCGGGATAAGGTGACTGGGTGGGACATAGTGCTACATGTTTGCCGCATGATTCACCAGTGCAAGACGTCACTATAAACTGCCACACTGCAGACATCGTAGCGATATGACTGACAAATTGTTAAAGCTACGTAAAAAATCCAAAATCACACACACACACACACACACACACACACACACACACACACACACACACACACACACACACAAGTTGGAAAAATAGTCTGCCTTGAAAGTCCGTATCAGATCTAAACAATGATATAACTTGAGAGAGAAGTGTATCAAAGACCGTCAGTCATTGCATTATTTGGATTGTATTAGCAATCATTGATAAAAGGAAGTACAATGTGTTTTTCACACATAACCGCGACACAAATCACATCTCATTCTTATGGTTTCATATTCAATCATCGTATATTTTTCTGAGCTGACAATTGCGTACAAATATCTTGCAATTGAATGAAAAATAAAAGACACAGCAAACACCACCAAGACACACGTCTTGCATTTATAAATAAGTTCATATATGAAGCATGTAAATGAGTTTTGAAATATACGATTTCGTAAGTTTCTTACTTCAAAGAAATGCATTCAAAGAGGAAGTGTTTAGAGTGATTGATCTCTTGAAAGGAAAGCTTTGTTGTGAAGATATACAAGTCTCTATATTACATGCAGCACCATGCTGTGCATAAAATGTATATATTCAAAATAAAAGATTCAATGTCCGTAAACAATTGGTCTATTGAAAATCTTGGAAAGCAGATAGGCCTGTTCGTGATAAATACAATTACGATGGTGCGTAATAAAACACGTTCCGATTTCATGAGCAAAATGGGTGGAGATGGGGTGAACATGAGGTCAAACTTGGCGCAAGCGTGCTTGTAGGGATGTCTTCTAGCTTCCAAACAACGCTGATATTTAAACCATTTAATAAATATTAGTCCACAAAGACATTAGTTTTTAACGTAACTTTGGAGCGACTTTGAAAAGCTGACAAAAATTTAAAAGGTGGTGAGGCCAAGTAAAGAGACTGCAGTGACAAAACAAAGATGTGTTTATGAAGCGAAAATCGACTATGACTCTGCAAATGTATCGCATTCTGTTACATCAGAGGTGCATATTATTGTTTTACGATCAAGATATTCATTCTATTGATACTCCAGTAATTTTCACAATTTTAATTCGTCATATTCAAACCCTCTCGACTTATTGGTTGTCACTACGTTGAACGTTATGGATCATTTCGCTCTCAATATACATTATTTTGTAAGATAATATATTATCCTCTTTGCATTGGGTTTTTTTTTCTTCAAAATAGGATAGTATTCTGCTTTAAAAACAATATAACCGCTAAAAGGATGTAAGTTTAGCAGAAAAGTGAATTTTGTATTGCTGTGCATATTAAATATTGTTATTTTGTGCAACGTCGATTATCTGGACCCAGCGGGGAACATTGTTCGTCCAGATAATCCGTCGTCCGAATGCCATAATTTTGGTTAAATAAAAAGATAAAGAAAAATGAATGGATGCAATGTGTCCAATGACTGACAAATTTCTGTACACTAACCAACCTTTTTGTTGTCAATCTTAACACTAATCAACCTTTTTGTGGTCAATCTTAACACTGTGAGATACGACTAAATTTATCTTTGAGATTCACGCCTTATGAAAAACCACTCAACCGTTCCACGATGGAATGAAAGCATAAATGATAAGGGAATCATTTTATATATGGACTTATGAATACAGGTGTCAAAGGGCTTTGATCAAGGTGAACTGGGCCTACGTGCATTCTATTCATACATATGTGTGTAGATGATTAACTTTTATCATCCGTTTAGTCACCATTGATCGCTGACTGACAGTTAAATACTTAGGCTTGGGCCACATGTATACCGTGGTAGGTAAACATTTCGGGGGACACTTTAGTACATGTAGTACATATGAGCGATACCTAAGTGGAAATTCTTAGAACCTGTTCAATAAAGTGTTGTGGAGAGCACATGCGTGAAAAAGAAACTTAAAGCAATCCACACTAACAGCCACCACCACCTTCCCACCACAAAAAATAATAGTAAAAAACCAGTAAGTCGAGTTGCTAGGAAAGAACGTTATGATGGTGTAACGTGCATGTATCGCCATTGGTCAACACGGTACATGTATATTTAATAATAGCTACAGTCATATTTCAAAAGGGCGTTTCAGATTACTGGTGTAAAGGCCCCAGACTATTTCAATTTAGGACATGCATTTATGCTTGAAACATGTTGGCCTTTCAAGTATCATCTGTTAAGGTGCACTTGATTTGTTGAGGTAACCAGAACCAGTCAAATTTATGTGTGTTCCATAAATAGATTTTTTTAGCTTTGTAAAGCCGACCTTAACATAATTGAGCAACTGATATTGTATAGTTTTGGTTTACTTGATGAATAACAACACACGAAAGGATGTTGGCTGGTTATTAGGACTGAACGCCAGTTTTGAGCGCATGATAGGTTATATACGGCAGCCAGTATATCTCGTGCGATGTGATGTCATGTGATGTGATTGTGACTTTTAACGTAGTTTTAACAATATTTCAGTCATATCGCCAGGATGTCTGCAGTGTGGCAGTTTATAGTTATGTCTAGCACTGGGACATCATGCCGCAGACATGTAGCATGATGTCCCATCCAGTCACATTATCTTGACACCAGGCTGACCAGTCCTAACACTAATATTTTAATGCTGAGCGTCAAGCGAGGCAGCTGTTATTACCATTTTTGTAAGACTTTGGTGTGACTCAACTGGGGATCGAACCCACGACCTCTCGCATCCGAGGCGGACACTCTAACCACGAGGCCACCGGAGCAGTCGTGGGATAACCCGAGAAAACAACAGAAAGTACCACTGACCCACGGAAAGCTACTGGCAAACATTATATTTTCTCCCATGATGTGATGTGATTATTATTTTTAACGTAGCTTTAACAATTTTTCAGTCATATCGCTACGATGTCTGCAGTATGACAGTTTATAGTGATATCTAGCACTGGGGCATCATACCGCAGACATGTATCATGATGTCCCACCCAGTCACATTATCCTAACATTAGGCCAGCCAGTCCTAACACTAACCTGTTAATGCTGAGCATCAAGCGAGGCAGCTGTAAGTACCATTTTTGTAAGTCTTTGGTATGACTCGACCGGGGATTGAACCCACGACCTCCCCCATCCGAAGCGAACGCTCTAACCACTAGCTCACCGGAGCGGTTTTTCTCTCAAAAAGTAAAAAAAAAAATAAAGCCACTTCGGATCTTCACTTTTAATGCTTAACTGAGCAAGATTAAAAAACGTTGGGTCCGTTAAAATAAATCAGATCAAGAAAGCTTGGAAGATTCGTTTTTATTCTAAAAATCATTATCAGCAGCAAATGGCTGTAGTTAGCACTCCATATCATTCGTAATATTCGAGGTAAATCGTACTGAGCTAATCTGACATGCTGACCATCTCGACTATTTACGGAACAAGGATTGACTCAGAAGGTGCGTATGCATCGACATACTTTCTTATTCGTAACTGTTCGGTCAGTCCTACGGTAAATCTAACCTTATAAATATCCGAGATGCTTCGAATAGATTGCGATTTCGTTTTTGTGTAGAAATTTCCAGCCAACAATTGTGTTCTGAAAATTACTACGCCGATATAGATCCAAAGCATATTTGTGTCTGTCAGAAATTGTCGAAATGGTCCAACTGCCATAACATTTTAACTCGTGTACTTGTCTGAAAATTGTCGGTGACTGACGAAGCATAAAACAGAAATGGACTAAACAATACACAATAAGAGGGCTACACGCAAATGGACCACTAAATTACGGGACATCGGTAATGAAATAATGATACACTTGACGAAGTACCCCATTTGAAATATGCTAATCCTCCATACAGCCAAGGTTTAGATCCACATGAATTTTTGTATACTGAATCCCTTCAACAAAGAGTTGCTGTGGGATAGACGTTGAAAGTGCAGTTTTCCTGTGTAAATTTGAGTACACACACACACACACACACACACACACACACACACACACATATACACATATATATATATATATATATATATATATATATATATATATATATATATATATATATATATATATATATATATATATATATATATATATATAAATGAGGTCAAATATAGACGATTGTGGTTGTGAGGATTTAGGATGAGGAAATACAAAGTTACTAAAAAATGGTATAGTGCACTTTCCATTGGTTCATAAAATCTGAACCCATCATCATTTTCAGGATACCCCTTGGAAATATTGATTGTACATGCAAGGTGATGCCAATGTGAACCACCACCACCATTATCAAATCTTAACAATGTGGAAACATGAAAGATTTGATTTAATGTGTTGAATGAAATAAATATGGCAAGCGGGCGGTTATCATTGCAAAGTCATGGCAAGTTAGTAAAACAACATTTACCACGATATACCAGTTTCCAAAAACAAAACAAACAAAAAGTAACAAACAAAGAAAACCAGATTATTGTCATTATCTCAAGCTTCGAACATAAACTCATAAAAACTTATGTTTGATAATCACAGATGTATGGTTATAACTTTAATTTTCCATTAGGTGAAACTTCTCTGCATATCTTGCCTCGTCGAACGATGAGTTCAGATATGTTTAAATCCTCTTTTCTATTTTTTCATAAAGTAATGTTCCGACTTTTAAAATAGTATCATTTTTAATGCAAAACTTGAGTGTTAAAATTACTTTTTAAAAGACTGAATAAATAATTCTTTCAACAGTGTATCTACATTTGCATATGATTCTTTTCTGGTAGTATTCTCCGATCTTGTCATTTCCTCCAGTTATAATACTTGCTTAATTTAGCAATATGAGAACAATATTCTTTTACACCTTTTGCCTTTGTATTGTAAAGTTTCATTTGGTCAATAGTCTTAGTTTCATTACAATGCTAACATGTAATACACTTTTAGTTGTACTACTTCGGTATTTTATACATGAATGTTTCTCTACAATCATTGTACCATACACAACTTTTAAAAAATTCAGTTACTTTTTTTCTGCTCAGACTCAATAAACAAAAAATTGATAAAATAATGGACATAATTTACTCAAAGAAATATATAAATAATCTTTCCTGGTTTTTTTTCCTTATCTGCCTGCAAATTTCTGAGCAACACTATCCAATATTACCGCTTCATTGTATGATCAGATTTTGCAATAATACGAGACACGGTCTGAGTTTCTATGTTATTATGTCGTCATGCAAGATATTTCAGTATTTGTAATTCAGAATAATTCTATTTATTTTGAGATGGTTATTTTTTGGATCAACCAGTGTTACACAATACAATGATCTGAGTAGGCTTTCAGCAATCAAGTGAAATAATATCCTCTCTATTTTACTAACACATATTTGACACCGTTCTTTAAATATTTATCAACCTTTGAAACGTCATCATGTTGAACGAATACAAATAATGTTCGTGCAATATGCCTTTCTTTAAACCTACAAATTTATAAAAAAACAGGATTAGCTATAAATTATTTTGTCTGGTTTAAATATTTCTTCTGTAAAATGAGGAAGATAGCTTGTGCTAAAATCGATCAGTATTTGAGCCCCAAATTGTATGATGTATTTTATATTAATGCCTTCCACTATATCAGTTGTTAGGCGCCCAAATAAGTAAATCAGTTTTGTAGACCTAGTTTTAGGGTCACTGACATTAATTGGTAGCATATCATTGGATCGATGGTACGTAATTTTTATCCATCAATAGAGTTAGTTAGGTTATGCTTGTATATATTATGTGGTTTCATTCAGAGTGAGATTCTCCAGTCTCTCTTAATCGTACCATTACATCTTTCTATAACAAACACTTATTTTGCCTAGGTAAGTGGAAAAGTACCTGTGGCAAAATCCTTTTCGGTTTATCGATCAGTATCTTTCCTGTTTTCGCTCATGAAAAATTTAACTACAAGCATCGTGACTGTTTTCTCCATGTTTGATTTTACACGTTTAAATAAAGAGTGTTCTGAGAAGATATCAAACACACTCTGGATGTTTTTATATCCAGAGTTGCATGTTTGATGTGCATCCAGATCGAGAATGTCTGTTCACCACTGGTCATTGATTAAGAATAAACATACTGGATAGAAATCCGTGTTTTGCTTGGTTGTGCAACGAGATTGTTAGGTTAACTATTTTTTAAATTCGGATTATTGTATTCTCTCATCACGTATAGTTTGTTTCCCACAACTGGTTCATATTTGTGTAAGAAGCTGTACTTTCGTTGCATTGATATCGAAGTGTATGAAACTGTATTTTCGTTGCAATGATATCGAAGTGTAAGAAGCTGTACTTTCGTTGCATTGATATCGAAGTGTAAGAAGCTGTACTTTCGTTGCATTGATATCGAAGTGTATGAAGCTGTACTTTCGTTGCATTGATATCGAAGTGTATGAAGCTGTACTTTCGTTGCATTGATAGCGAAGTGTAAGAAGCTGTACTTTCGTAGCATAAGTGTATAAGTGAAATAATTTTTTTGAGGCATAGATGTCTCAGTGAAAGAAATCGTATTTTCGTAGCATAGATGTCTAAGTGTACGAAGAAATTATTTGGAAGCATAAATATCTAAGTCATACAAGATGACCTTTCGTTACATTGATGTCTAAGTGTAAGAAACACAATATAACAACTGGAGATTGACAGTTCATTTTATCACACGTTCTTTTAAGACACAAAATGGCGGACACTATCGTCTTTGGTACGTAGGAGTTGCAGAACAAATCACGTTTTCATTGTATCTATTCAAATCCTATTAGAATTTTGTTTCCGTACTTGCACTGTTTATGGACCGACTCCTATCTTCACAATACCTATTCTTATTTTACATCACCGCCCAACACTATATGGAGCTAAGCATATCACAAACCGTTGACATAGTCAATGTGGGGCTAAATATAACAAATACTTTAATATTAACATCTTCTTTTAACACTATAGGTCTTTTAAGGCGGCTCCGAGTGGACAAGTGGTCTACAGAGTGATCTAAAGCGCTCTCCGTTACGGATCACTGCCATCTCACATCTGTCTGCGTGGGTTCGAGTCTAAGATTTGGCGAATGTGGATATGTGAAAAAGCTTGCCAGTACCCTTCTCGTGATCGGTGGTTCTTTCCGCGGATTTCCAGGTTTCTTCCTACACTATTAATACTGGCCGTCATGTATCGTGTGCTGAAAAATAGCGTTAAGCCCCAGAACAACAACTTTTTCAATTTGATTTACACGTGCACTTTTTCAAGGCAATACTTTTTAACGCAATTATATTTTTGGTTACTTGTAAAGGGAAAAATGAAACGAAAATGATGTCATTTCTCCACGGCAATAGTTTTTAAACTTTTCTTATTTTGAGGAGAGTTAGAGCAATACATTCAATGTAGTTCAGCGGATTTATTAATTCATACAAATTTGAATTAGACAGATCATTTCCCTTCAAAAGCATGAATCAGACAGATCATGTCCCTATAAAAGTATAAATCAGACAGATCATTTCCCTACAAAAGTATGAATCAGACAGATCAATTCCCTACAAAAGTGTAATTCAGACAGATCATTTCCCTACAAAAGTATAAATCAGACAGATCATTTCCCTACAAAAGTATGAATCAGACAGATCAATTCCCTACAAAAGTTTGAATCAGACAGATAATTTACCTACAAAAGTATGAATCAGACAGATAATTTCCCTACAAAAGTATGTATCAGAAAAGATCATTTCCCTACAAACGTATGAATCGAACAGATCATTTCCCTACAAAAGTATGAATTG